AGCATATGTTGGTGGAAAAGGCTGCTGTTTTGTGTGGAATCTTTATCTTTCAGTAAGTTTTTAAGGTGTGCTTTCAGCTTTAAAAGAAGGAACTTGCCATATAATAGATACACATACCATTTTGAAATAGAATGAAGACCAAAGGCACATACAAACAAGAATCTCTTAATTACCTGCACTAAGAGATGTGTGATTCTTGAGCTTCATGAAGTGGCTTCATGAACTTATCATTAAAGAAAAAGCAATCGTGCCCAGTTTGATTAAAGTTTGCTTGGAAAGTTAAGTGAATTCAGTGGCAATGGCACAGTCCATTTTACCCTAAAGGCCTGCTTTAGAAGGATTTTCTGTTTAGATAGTGTTTATTGGTTCTGAAGAGTTATCTTTATTGCTTTCTGATAGCTTATCTTTTATTTTGTCCCACCCTCATGCTGCCTACCAAGGCCTATTGATTATTATGACTAATCAATGTGAGCCTTCTCTCTGCTGGTGTCCTTAGCTACACTGCGGCTGTCAGGTGCTCTCCATCTGAAATTAGTCAGTGTCTTGCCCAAGGACACTTTCACATGTGGACTGCAGGCACTGAGATTCGAACCTTCAACCTTTCAGTTGGGAAGCGACTGCTCTACCCACCGCACTGTCGCCTTCCCCAGTGGAATCTCTTGTCAGAATTATTTGTTGTCATTTGAGTTTGTGGCCAGATGCAACTAATTTTGAGGTTTGCTTCACCCTGGAGAACTGGCTTAGAGTGTCTGTATTTTGGTATCACTGTAGCAAAAAGTCTAAGCTCTTTAAGCACTGGACAGTGAACTTGTCATGCTATTTAAAAAAAAGAGCTTAATTAATCAATGCAATGTTTACAGCCACTTGGAGACAGCACAATAAAACACAACACTTAAACACTTAAAAGTGAACAGTTAATTATTTACACATCACATTGCTACAGACAATTATTTATGCATCACATTGCTACAGACAGAGTAAAATTAAAAATATCATGTCATCATGTTTGTGCCCACATGAAATATGTGACTCCAAGATTTAGCTCTAGATCTTGCTCTTGAGATTGAGCAAGCCATTTCACTTGGTCACAGTTTCATTACCTGAACACAATGTTTTTTCATATCATGAAATAATTTGATGAATTGTTAATATAAATGTTGCAGATGCTGGGGAGCATAATATGATTTGCAACCATTTTTTTTCTTCACTCTAACACTTTAACAAAAATCAGATAGCCTACAAATTGCTACTGGTTCTTACTGTCATTTGTCTTTTTAACCCTAAAAAGGGCTCAAATTACTAAAAGGCACCATCTGGTGGCCTGTACCTGATTCATTTAATGAGGTGTGAAACGCACCACTACTTATCAGATGCACTGTATTAATGCCTCTGTTTTCTCTACAAACTCCTCAAAACAATGTCTAGTTCTGTAGTCTGGTGCTCACCAGCTCATCACTGACCCTGGCTGTTGGGAAGGTTGCATGAAGTTTAGATTGTGAGTTTTGGTGTTAAACCAAAAATGTCAGATGAAAGATGTTTAAATGCTTTGTAGAGCTTTTTTTTCTCTTGCAGGGTTGGTGTGCTCTGTGGGCTAAACATTCTTGTGACAAACATCCATGTAAATGAATGACACTTTATTACAGACTCAAGGTCCAGGTTCAGAAACTAATAAAAGCAATAAAAGAACAGTTTAAAATGAAACAATAAAAACAGAAAATACATAAAAATGAGAACAAAAGAACACCCATAAAACTACTGCCCCTTTAAAAGGCAGGCATACCAGTGTTTCCAGAGAATAGAAGTAAAACGCATGCCACTGTGTGCAACATTAGTCAACAATAAAATATGATTTTCTGAACAATTCAAGCGACAAATAAATTTAAACATCAGGTTTCTTAAAACAGAGGAAAATGTACTAATTCGAGATGACACGAAAAATTCGCTAGCACTCGTCCATCTAGGCTTTTTCAATAATATCCTTAGGGCGTCATTGTAAGCTACTGACAGTTTCCGAAGACTGCCCTTTTTATAATTACACCACAGATGGGCAGTGTACAAGGAAGTACAATACGCTTTAAACAAAGCCAGTTTTACTCCCACCGAGCATGCACCAAATTTCCGCCAGTACATTAGCTTGTACATACAACATACGGCACTGCCGATATATATCCCCGTCATCAGACAAACAATCATTAATGACATGACCCAAATACTTAACTTCACTGCACACAGTTAAAATATTATCAGATAACTTAAAAGAAGGAAATACAAGGGACCTGTCCTCTTTTATACGGCATATCATAATGACACTTTTGACAGCATTGTTTTTTGTTTTGCATACAGTGACTTTAAAAATGCTCAACAGTTTTTACTTTCAAATCACTCAGTCTGCTCAGCTGAAACTGTACAATTCTTTCCATGAGAGCAAACCAGGAATGTGTGAATGATATTGTTTACCACCCTAAGCCAATTTTCCACATCATAGCTTTTCAATAAAGTAATATTGATTAGAACAACTTAAAATGGCAACGCTACTAAAGGAAAGAGAATTGTAATAGAAGACTTTGATGAAAGATAAAACAGAAATGAATGAAATGAAATATATCATATATATAGTATTTGAAGGCAAAACATCAGATTAGTGATGTTACAAAAATAAAGAGGTGTATTGATTATAGCATTATTGTCTGTGGCTCATCCTTGATAAAGTGGCGTAATGTATGACTGCAGGTGTTGCCTTTTTGTAATTAATAGTTTTATAATTGGATAAATTAATGAGCTGGCAGATGAAAAATGGGAACAGGCATGTGAGGAAAGCAGTTGTCTCCCAGGAAGAGACCAATTTGAACTTGTGTAATGAAGAAAAACTTAACTAAATCACTGGCTCCCTCCCTCCATCTGCTTCTATTCGAGTTGCTGTTGTTCTCCAGGGCCCAAGTCACTGCAGTTGCTCTCAGTTTACAGTGCAAACAGTAACAGCTGATAGAGATTTTTCATTGCAGAGATAAATAGAATCAGTGTAATCCCATTCTGCTGTCTGATCAGATAGGAAGTCTAATTCCTGTCTTGTCTCTTCCATTTCACAGGTTCTCAAGAATCTCAGAGTCTACTGATGCAGCCATGGGCCGATCATTGGGTCTTTGAGCGCAACCTTCCTTCCTCTCCTCCTCCAACACGTTCTTTTCTTCTTCCCCCTCTTCCCTAGCCCTTTATAGCTGGAAGTTGAATCCTCCAGAAACTAGTCATCAGCCTAAAATAGCTTGTCCTTTCCTTCATCTGCAAATCATGACAAGCATTGTTTATCAGATTCCTATGCCTGGCCAGTCAAGGTGGCCTCTCCCAGTGCTCCTCTTGTATTTTGCCCCTGTATTGCTAATGGAGAGCCGGTGTCATGCAGCCCCCTCGGGACCGGAGTCTGACTCCTGCTCCACCTTAGTCCAGAGCCGCTTCTTTGGCTTCTTCCTGTCATCATCAGTGTTCCCCACAGTGCCTTGTTCCTGGACCCTCCAGAACCCTGATCCACGCCGCTACACCATCTTTATTAAGGTGACCAAACCTACAGATGACTGCGTGCCATCACAGCTACACACTTTCCAATATGACTCCTTCCTAGAAACTACACACACCTACCTGGGCATGGAGAGCTTTGATGAGGTGGTGAGTTTGTGTGACACCTCTGCCCCAGTGGCCTTCCTGGAGGCTGGAAAGCAGTTCCTCCAAATGAGGAAAGGACCTCCTCGGGTGGGCAAAGCTGTCACAAACAGTGATGGGGATTTCAAAACAGAGTACCTGGTGGTGGGGAAACGCAACCCCAGTATGGCGGCCTGTCAGATGCTCTGCCAGTGGCTGGAGGATTGTTTGGCCTCCAGCACATCTAACAGGCCCTGCGGTATTATGCAGACTCCATGTTTGTGCTGGGACCCACCACCGCAACTCAGTGAGGGAGACAGCTGTTATCTCAATGGAGTTTACCTGGAAAACTGTTTATCCAGTGTGAAAGAGAGTGGAAAAGATGCAGAGCTAAATGGTGAGTAGAAAATATTTTGCAGTTGTTTAACTAAAAAAACCTGGACACACTTTCCCACTGAACTGAATGAAAATGTGTGTAAGTGTTAATTATCTCTGCTTGTCTGTAAAACAATAGGGACAGACAAACCATGCTTCCAATGGGCAAACTAGACTTGTTTTTGTTGAGGTTATTAAAAGGCCTTGGAAAATGTGTCTGATTTGTGAAAAGTTAGGATAACTGTGTGACACTGGAACAAAAGCTTTGAATGAGGAAGAAAGAGGAACAGAAAGAGACAAATGTAAGGTTTACGGTTTCATTTGATGGAAGCGAGCTCTGTGACCTTGGACAGTCAGCACTATATTCTGGCCCTCTGTGGTCCTGGGAGGGACACTCAATCGGCCTGTGGAAACAGAGGAGAATCAAGTGCTGATATTGGATAGCTTTGGGGATGCTCAGAGCAGGGGGCTGGGAGAGGGGTATTGATGTCAAAAGAGACAAAGGAGGAAGCTAGAAGAAAAGAGGCAGACATGTGATGGGATAAGGGACTGTGGCTTGAAGTTTAATTGCCTGCTCCTTGATCCCAACCCCCCCCCCCCCTTTCCCTTAGCAGACAGGATGTGGCCTGACATCTCTATCCTGGCTTCTTCTTGGCTGTGGTCAGAGGGGAGGGACATTTCCCAGCTCTGCTTTCCACCATCTATCTCTACCTCCTTCCTCTAATCCTCAGTCATTTCCCTTAATCAGCCTGTGGTCTTATTCCCTTGGTCCTCCTCCTCCTCCTCCTCCTCTCTTGAGCCACTGTCACTGCTTTCCCATCTTTTCCTCCCTTGGCTGATAGTGGGCCGATACTGAACCAGTTGTGGAAAGCCAACCAAGCTGACTAGATACTGTAGTGGGTATCTCCTGCCTTATCCCTCCTCCAGTCTCTAGGGCAGCTAAGATCCCCTAGCTGCCCCAGCCTCCACTCCATTAGTTATTGTACTTATGTAATCCCACTTATGGTGCTCAGCAGCGGGGTGTGGGCTGTTTGTGCCTAAGGTGTGAAAAAACAGAAGAAGAAATATACCATCCGCTGTTGGCTTATGCAGCGATGGAAATAGAAAGATGCATTATAGCTTTTCTTGTGTGAATTAGCCCACGTGGGCAAAGCGGCTCCTACATGATAATCTCAAGTTCAGACTGAGTGAATGGATGTGGAACCCCATGATGAGCTCAAATGGAAGAGGCAAGCGGTATGTGAATATTTGGTTGGACAGGTGACTGGATGGATCGAATCGGTGGATGAAGATAAAGAGTCTGATTAGATGTAATGGATTCTGTGTGGAAATAGGTCAGGGAGCCAAGTGGTTATGGCCCGCTGTGCAGCAAAGAAGGGGAATAGAGGGGTGATAGTTGTGAATGATGAATGAAGGAAAGATAATAGATGCATAGATGAGAGGGAACAAATTGGCAGATCAAAATAAAGAAGAGTTCAGAGGCTGACAGAGTTGAGAGGGGGAGTTGTCTGATGTGGCCTTGATGAGGATAGATAGTTGCTGCTTTGGTCAGGCAATATGCAGCCGGACCTGTTTGGTCTCAGCACATTCAGTAATAGGGGAGCTCTTAGATTATTGTCTGTCTCCCAGCTGTCTTCACTCCCCTTCAAGGTCCCACCAACAGCTGATGGAGGGGTGAGACCAATTCTGTTCCTGTCCAGCTGATGGGGGCTACATGTGGCTCTTTACTGTACATGTAGTGTTGGAGCTTTACCTTAAACAGTGATTTATTTGCCATAAAAATCCTTACCTTTACTGCAGAAAGTAAAAACTGGCATTCAAATAAAAAAAGTAGTAGTAGAACAGAGGTTTTCACAAACACACCCTATATCAGCAATTTTATCTGGTATAGCAGGGGAGTTGCTTTGTTTCAGCCTAGTAGCAAGTAAAGCCATGGAAACCTAACATTTTTCATGATCACAGAAATATGGTGACTTGGTGAGATATTCCTCTGTGACAGTGTACAACAGCTAGAACAGCTGTGCCAATGTCATCCCTGTTTGTCCTCACTGTGTTGCGATGTGTCGCATGGATGTAGCTAGCTGGGTAGGAAGATCATATCTCACCTCTTAAACGCCACAGTGAAGCTCTGATTGGCATAGGAATAATATAATAATCATGAACATGACCCATTTCACAGAGAGAGTGTATGGCTTCACAAGCTGTCATTTTACATTCTTTCAGTTCCTTACAGGAGCTGTAATGATTAAATGCTAATCTGTTAATCATGGTTATGCAGTTAATTGTTTTGGTGTATCTCAATTTATATAAGATTAAATGTGCAAAGCTAAGGTGGCAATATTTGTGCAACTTTTTTACCCCCCTATAGCAGGGGTAGCCATGTGTCTATATGGGGTACATGATCAAATGAATATATTGACTAACAAATTGGTGGGGAGTCAATAGGATAAGTGTGTGTGTGTTTTAAATCAGGATCAGTAATGTTTCAATTAAGAGTCTCAATGTCCCTGAATAGGAGGAATTCTGGGAGACATAAAAGCAAATATCCTAGAAAGTTCATTTCAGCACAAACACATTTGCAATGAGCTGCTTCAGTTAGTTAATATAAAAATGAATAATAATCTTGCCTTTCTGCAGTAATTACAGCTAATGAGCAGGACACCATGTTTCACACATCCACAGTTTACTGTGTGAACACAGCTCCTGTGTTGTGTGAGAAATATTTAACCTTTAATTTCCCCAGAAATACTGCCCATGAAATTCCATTTTGGTAGACCTTCAATGATGCGTGTTGTGCATGTGTGGATGTGGGGTGATTTGTGTCACGACGTGCAGCATGGAGCAGGAAAGGATTAATTTCTTAGTCCTCGGTGGACAGCAGGGGAGGCAGTGACTGATTACAGGGTGGATCAGAGAGATGTGTGGAGATGAGAAGGCTTATGACTCAGTCTAAACAAAAGAAGCACTATTGTGATAACTTTAAGAAAACACCAGAAATGATCAAAAGCAAGTATACTGAAATTATATAAAGGAGGACAGACACAACCTACCCACAATGCTGTGGGATCATCTGGGTTGTGACCATGACTGCAAATCACTTTCAATTTTGCAGTCATTTTAAGTGGGAATTATTAATAAAGAAAAAAAGCTTTAAAAGAACCAAAGTATCACAGACTGAAAGCACTTTACATGGAGCCACAAAGAGACGGCTCAGTTATTAGCAGTGTTGCCTCACAGCAAGAAGGTCCTAGGTTTGAAACTGGCTTTGCTTCTATGGGGGCTTTCTGTGTGGAATTTACATGTTCTTTACACACGCTATTCTACATACAAACTGGGTGAAGAGAGTGCTGTAGTAGCAAGTCCTAAAACAAGGAACTGGTTTAGCTGTCAGGAATGGTGCGTAAAGCTGCTGATGATGTTGATGGTGAACTCTATTATAATGCCAGATGAGGTTAAGTAGAAAACAATCTTACTGGTCAAACACAATACAATGCTGGAATCCAGAAAACACACTCAGGTCGATAATACAGTCCAGGGTCAGAGCCAGCAAAGGTACACAGCCGAGGCATCCACAAAGACTGGTCAGAAGGGGAAGTCCAGAGGTCGAAACACAGTACACAATCAGAAGCAGGGGGGTAAGGCAGTAATTGGTGTGGTCAAAAAGCAGTCCAAGGTCAGAGCTGGAGTAACAGGTACCATGAAAATGCTGGAAAGTCGGCGAGAGCGCTGTGCCTTAACCACTTCCCTGCTATAATAATCCAAAAGCCTATGGAAAAATCCCATTGGCTTTGTGTCGACTTCTGGGTTGGCCTACAAAAATACATTATACCTATGGCACTCTACTAAAAACCACATGCTGCAACTGCACATTGCTGCAGATGTGAATGTGTACGTGATATCAAATACAGTATTATATCAGTGGCCGAATCTACCCAAGTTTGCATTTATTCACGGAATACACCATAAAACACCCACACTTCAATAGCTCCTCCAAATGTGGTCAAGGAATGTTTATTCTTTTTTTCATGAATGTCCATTACATCCCTCACTCTCCTCCAATCTATTGTCCACTCAGGTCGATTTGTAATGGTATCTTCATGCGGTTGTCATAAAATCAGAAAAAAAATCAGGTGACTACATTGTATCTACCAAGTATTTGTGTTCAGTTACTCAGCAATCACTAGTCATTAACTCATTAACTACACCAGTTACTCAAGGGCATATGGATGCTATTGCACACTATTACTCAAAAGGTGTCACACAATTACTAATACCACACTACTTGCCCAGTGTCTGTCATGTGGTGAAATAAAACTTGGCTTTTAGTCAGACACTTTATAGTACATGAAGGAATTGACCAGCACCTCCCCTCCAGCTCTTAATGTATTTTTCTAAGTGGACTGGTGGTTTGATAGGCCGTCTGGGGTGTACCTTGCCTCTGGCCCCATGAATGCTGGAATAGAATGCAGGATAAGCGGATAAAGAGAATGAGGGTTGGAGGGAACTCTCTCTACTGTCTGTCTGTTTTGCTGATCATGGTTCTCTGAAGACTGTTTTTGATTGTTACTGGTGCTTGAAGAAACAAAGGTGATTGTGTTTTGTTTGCCTTTGACAAGAACTGTCTTTTTGCACTCTGGGGTATATGAACCACTGAATATTCATTTTCTCTGTTTTTTCAGAGCTTTCTTCTTGTTTCTTCCAGTTTTCTCAAATCCTAATTCCTGGCTTGAAGTGGAGTGTTACACTTCCAGCAGTAACAGTGACGCTAGGATATCCCTATTTAGTGGCATTCATTTGAATCCGTCTTTGCAGAGCAGGTTGGTTTGTTGCGTTAGTTGCTTTGAGAGTTAGTAGTGTTGTACCAGATTGTGTATTTAGTGGAGAATCACTGTAGATAGAGAGATAGATCAATAGATAGCTAGACAGTAAGTTACATAGAGAAATAGATAAATTAGTTACATAGTTAAATAATGGTCCTAAATAACGTTAGATATAGATATATTACATATATAGATATATTGC